GACACACAGCCTGTCCTGGGAGTGACATGGGGACACACAGCCTGTCCCGGGTGTGACATGGGGACACACAGCCTGTCCCAGGTGTGACACAGGGACATGGGGACACACAGCCTGTCCCGGGTGTGACATGGGGACATGGGGACACACACACAGCCTGTCCCAGGTGTGACATGGGGACACACAGCCTGTCCCGGGTGTGACACGGGGACACACAGCCTGTCCCAGGTGTGACATGGGGACATGGGGACACACACAGCCTGTCCCAGGTGTGACACAGGGACACGGGGACATGGGGACACACAGCCTGTCCCGGGTGTGACATGGGGACATGGGGACACACACACAGCCTGTCCCAGGTGTGACATGGGGACATGGGGACACACAGCCTGTCCCGGGTGTGACATGGGGACACACAGCCTGTCCCAGCAGGGACATGGGGACACACAGCCTGTCCCAGGTGTGACATGGGGACATGGGGACACACAGCCTGTCCCGGGTGTGACATGGGGACATGGGGACACACAGCCTGTCCCGGGTGTGACATGGGGACATGGGGACACACACACAGCCTGTCCCAGGTGTGACATGGGGACACACAGCCTGTCCCAGGTGTGACATGGGGATATGGGGACATGGGGACAAGCAGAGCACAGTCAGGGCAGCCCAGGCCACAGCACCACGTGGGGAGCAGCAGGAGCTGCCCCTCCCCAGCCAAGGACAATCCCAGGGGTGCCACGGTGACACTTTTGGGGCACAGGGGATGCAGTGACCCCCCTGCCCCTTCCCCAGGACACTCCAGCCACGCCACACTCACCACTGACGTCCAGGTTGTACTTGGCCACCACGCTGCCCATGGAGCTGGTGGCCGTGCACACGTAGGTGCCACTGTCACTCTTGTTGAGGAAGGGGAAGATGAGGACGCTCTCGGAGCTGAGCTGCAGGGGAGCATCGCTGCCCTCCTTCTCCCAGAGGAATTCCTGTGGGCTGAGGAACGGGGTGGGGGTCAGCAGCCTGGAATCCCCCGGGACACACGGGGGGAGATGTTGCGTTCAGGGATGAGCCAGGATGGAGCTGCTGCTCCGGGAGAGGATGGGGGGCTGTGCTCACTCTCACGGAGTGCCCGGCAGGGACACCCCAAAGCCAGCCCTGAGCTCTGGGGGGGCTCGCTGAGGGAGCCTGGCACAGGGAGGGGAGGTTGGCCAAGGCCTGAGGAGGAGGAGGGAGGTGAGGAAGGCCTTACATGGGGTTGCCCTGCCCGTCGCACTGCAGCTGCAGCTTCTCCCCCTCCCGCGGGTACTGCGGGTGTGGCTCGATCTTCGCTGTTGGCTTGTCTGGAAAAGGGCAGAGGAACAGCAGGGTGAGTGCCTGGCACCCCAAATCCTGCCCTGGAACCCCAAATCCTGTCCTGGCATCCAAAACCTGCCCCTGACATCCCAAATCCTGCCCCTGGCACCCCAAAACCCACACCTGGAACCCCAAATCCTTCCCCTGGCACCACAAATCCTGTCCTGGCATCCCAAAACCTGCCCCTGGAACTCCAAATCCTGCCCCTGGCACCCCAAATCCTGCTCTGGCATCCCAAATCCTGCCCTGGCATCCCAAATCCTGCCCTGGCATCCCAAAACCCACACCTGGCATCCCAAATCCTGCCCTGGAACCCCAAATCCTGCCCTGGCATCCCAAAACCTGCCCCTGGCACCCCAAATCCTGTCCTGGCATCCAAAACTTGCCCCTGACACCCCAAATCCTGCCCTGGCATCCTAAATCCTGCCCCTGGAACTCCAAATCCTGCCCCACGACCCCAAAACCTGCCCCTGCCACCCCA